GAAGTCAAGAGGAACTTTTGCTAAAGTCTCTTGAAAGGGTCAATGGGAGCAGAGCACCTAACGCAGCCTTCTCCCGCCCCCAGGGAAACTGCGGGCCCCTACGGTGCAAGCTTCCTCTCAGGATTTGTTTTTTGCCAACATGCCCTCTTCGTGTGCCAGAGATCTCTTCTTTATACGTCCTTCTTTCTAGTCACTGCAGTTATAAAAAGTGAAATTGCATTGTTTTCTTCTCATGCCTGCTGGTCTTATGCAATGGAAGAAGAGGGAGTTCAATTTTATATACATATTATTGTGTATATTGGCATATTTTTTGTTTGCATGTCTGAGGCGTGTCCTTACAACGTATCTACACAAAAGTAGCTGTGCAAACACACTATACCCTGCATATTATGAGTAGCCACGTGCAAATTAACATGTCATGGGGCACACTGATACAATTAATGATGGAGTTCATTACTTGACATAAGCAGATAGGGATATTGATCCAGCCAATCTTCACTAAAGCTCTCCGTAGCTATGCCCCTGGACTGCAGTAGCTGTGCTGCTCAATGAATGTCCCCACGCAGATGAGGCCAAGAATCCAGGATGCCCTTACAAGCGCATCCATTTGGCAGCGCAGCTCACAGCAGGGGCTCAGTTCAGGTGCAGAGCTCACTTTGCCAGTGAGAGCTGATAGGTGGTGAGGCCATCCACCTCGCCCCGGCTCCTCACGGAGGTTTTACAGGTCTAACGAACAAACAAAATCTCTTCATGTTCCAACTTAGCACTTTTTGCAAACCTGTTTTGCAAATGAAAACTAGTGAAAAAAGCCCCACTGATGTCGGAGACACAACAGGAGAGAGAAATCGCTCCAGTAGAAATACTAAGGATTTTTATTAAATCTGATTGAGAAATGGGAAGGCAGGCTATATATTTTTTTTTCCTGGAGACTTAGACTGAAAATAAAAATCAACAGTGTTTTCTATTTCTTATGTGAAGAGAGGTTCCTGTCCCTCCCTTGCTATAGTGGTGAAAAGCACTCTTGGAGCACTGATGATATGACAAATACCTGGGAATCAGACTTTTCAGATGTGCTGATCAAGAACATGTCAGCATTTGTACAGCTTGCTTAAACAGTTACCCGATCTAGTCTTTGTAGAAATAATTTCTGTGCACATCCATGTCTGTGTACACATACATGCAGACATTAATTAGCTCTACAATAATTCACGGTAATAATTTCTCATTGGCTCTTCTAAAACCATTAAGAAGTTACTCATTAATTAATTTACTTCAATTTGGTTGGAGATGACCTTAAAAGGCTCTGTATTTTACTCTCTTTGTACACATTATTGCAATTCAGGGGAGTTTAATCCAAACCCCTTTTTTTGTGCAAGGAGTGTGGAGTGCACCAGTGTCACTGAACTGACAGTTCTCCCCGGCTCCCTTTTTACCTACCCGGAGTGTGGAAAAGTTACCCAAAAGCAGGGCACTGGGTGGGTCTCTCATGCTCTCTGATTTTTACTGGGACCTTCACTCAGGATTTTCTGAAGAGCATTTAAAATTTATGTTACAAAGTCTGTTCTGTATTCTATGGTTAAAGGTGGTTTATGCAAGCCTTTGGAAAAAAAAAAAAGAATTGGCATGTCAAAGGGGAAAGGGGTGATGATATGATTTATCACTGAAGAGCAGCATAGCCGGCTCAGCACAAGATTCAGGCTGGGACAGTCGGGAAGGCAGGATGGAGGGCGAGGCGACAGAGTCACACTTCCCTGGAAAGACTTGGGCAACGTGGAGAGGGAAGGGAGGCACTCTGCAATGAATGAAAGAGTCGGTAGTGGGGAGAAAGGAGAAACCAAACGGACCTCCTGGCAAACAGGATGTGGAGGGTGGCTTCTAAGGGACAGAGAAATAGGCAGCTGGAAAAAAAGGCATGTGAAGAATTAGTAATTTGTTTTCAGTCCATTGCCAATTTACCTTCTCTTACAGCTATGGGACTCCCTCCCAGATGTAAAATCCTTTCAGTTTTGTGAGACTTTGGCACTGGCACAGGTCTAAGTACCTGGGTCAAAATCCCATTTGGAAGGGGGCATTCACCTCCTGAGTTATATTCTTCTCCAGTGGGATTTTTAAGAAGAAAAAAGCATAAGACCTGGCTATCAAAGGAATTTAGAGAGCAACAGAGAATGACAAATCACACTGAAGCTTCTGGGGCATTTTAACAATAGGGTTCCCTAACTCCTTTTGTTTTTTAATGGGATTTGAGCATCTTAAGTACTTTTATCCCACTAGGTACTTAACTGCATCTTGTGGCACATACCTGCCTTTAAGAAGTTATCCTTTAGCCTTTCTTTGAAAATAACCACGACAATCTGTTTTTTGGTCCATGCAATGTCTTGGTCATACTTTGTGGCCAACAGCAAAGAAAAGACCTCTCTTCAAGTTGCTTCAAATAATTTGGGTGCATGTAATTTTTTGTCCGAATGGCTCATTTGTTATTCCAAGACAAGTCAGAAGTATTTTG